TGGGAGTTGGTGCTGGGGTGGGGAGGATAAAGGGGATGGGGAAAATGGGGGGAAAAAGGAGGAAAAAAAGGAGAGAAAAAGGAGACAAAAAGAAGAAAAAAGGAAGAAGAAAGGAGAAAAAGGGGAGGAAAAAAGGAGGAAAAAGAGAGAAAAAGGGGAGGAAAAAGGAGAAAAAAGAAAAAAAGGAGCAAAGAAGGAGAAAAGAAGGAGAAAAAAAAGAAAAAACGAGAAAAGAAGGAGAAAAGAAGGAGGAAAAAGGAGAAAAGAAAGAAAAAAGGAGAAGAAATGGGGGAAAGAAAAAAATGGGAAAAAGCAAAATGAGAGAAAAATGGGGAAAGGGAGGGAAAAAGGGAGAAAAATGGAGGAAAAGGAGAAAAATGGGAGAAAAGGAAGAAATAGGGAAAAAGAGAAAGATGGGAAAAGAGAAAAAAGGGGGAAAAATGAAAAGAAATGGGGAAAGAAAAAAATGGGAAAAAGAGGAAAAGGGAGAAAAATGAGAGAAAAATGAGGAAAGGGAGGGAAAAAGGGAGAAAAATGGAGGAAAAAGAGAAAAAATGGAGAGAAAAGAAGAAATGGGGGAAAAGAAAAAATAGGAAAAGAGGGAAAAAAGGGAAAAGGGAGAAAAATGAGAGGAAAATGGGGAAAGGGAGGGAAAAAGGGGGAAAAAGAAAGGGAAAAGAAAAATGGGGGAAGTGAGAAAAAAGGGGGAAGAGAAAGGAAAATGGAAGGAAAGGGGAAAAAAATAGAAAGAAAAAAAGAGGAGGGAAGAGAAAAAAAGGAAAATATGGAGAAAAAGGAGGGAAAGGGAGAAAAAAAGGGAAATTGAGGAAGAAGGGAAGGAAAAAGGGGAGAAAAAAGAGGAAAATGGGGAAAAGGGAAATAAATGGGGGGAAAAAAGGGGGAAAAATGAGGGAAGGAAAAAAGGTGGAAAAAAGGAAGAAAATATGAAAAAGGGGAAGGAAAAAGGGGGGAAAATGGAGAAAAAAGAGGGGAAAAAAGGGAAAAAAAAAAGGGGGATAAAAGGGAAAAAAAAGGGGAAAAAAAGGGGGGGCGGGAAGAAGGAGAAAAGAAAAAAGGGAAGGAAAATGGGGGGAAAAAAGGAAAAATTGAGGAAAAATGTGGGAAAACTCACCCTGGGTGCTGGTGGCCCCAGTGCTCCAGGTGCCATATCCTGGGGAAAAAAGGGGAAAAGGTGAGGGAGAAAATTCCCAATATTCC